GGTGCGTGATTTGTTTGGTGCAGGCTTTAGCCATGGACATGATATGTGATCTGATGGTGAATTTGAGGTGAATTTGGGGTGACCCAATGCAAAAATCCTGAGGATCCATGGGCTTTTACCTCCCCCCTCCACTAGCATCCCTTATCTCTCTTCCGATCCCACCGATCAGCTTCCCACCGATCAGCAACACTCCCTTCCCTCTTGTTTGCCTTAGTGTCTTTTCCTCCGCTGGAGCAGTTTTTTGCTCCTTCTTTTCTTCTAATTTCTCTCCTCATTGCTTTAGTCTTCCTGTTTCCCCCCTTTGCAAGTCTGCTGTCTTTACCTCCCCCCTCCCAGGCAGCCTCCTTTATCTGTAGCATCCCTTATCTCCCTCCTGATCGCTTGCCCGATCAGCTGCTTCCTTTCAACACCCACTTCCCTCTTTCAAAAAAGAGATCATGATCTGCTTTTCGCCCCTGGGCAATTCGGCTCCAGGGACCACACATCCGCTCCATAAGACGCACAGACATTTCCCCTTACTTTTTAGGAAGAAAAAAGTGTGTCTTATGGAGCGAAAAATACGGTATATCTTGTGCAAGAAACACCACACAAATCAGCTTAATTTGACATGTTTTTATTCATGTTGCAGAACTCGGCTTTCACTAGCCGACGAAGTTGGGTTACATTGCTGACTAAATTTGATGAAGCTTCACAGTCCCCAGCGCCTGGCCTGCCAGCCGTTCGCCCTTTTCACAAAAGCCTTTTGTGCTTTTCAGGCGATGCCAGCGTCTCGTTGGTTATTTACACTTAGGGGTGCAGGGCTCCACGCATTTGGTGGCGCACTTCTTCACGCATTGGGGGGCGCAGGGGGGTGCACAAGCCGGAGCACAGGCCGGGGCACATTTGGGGCCACAGCCTGACCCACAAGCCGGAGCACATTTGGGGCCACAGCCTGACCCACAGGCCGGAGCACATTTGGGGCCACAGCCTGACCCACAGGCCGGAGTACATTTGGGGCCACAGCCTGACCCACAGGCCGGAGTACATTTGGGGCCACAGCCTGACCCACAGGCCGGGCCACATTTAGGGCCACACGGCGGGCAGCAAGTCTTCACACACTGTTGAGGTGCGCATGGTTGACACGACTTCACACATGGAGGTGGCAGGCAAGCCTGCTTGCACTGATGCTGATGGCAAGACATATTTTTGCTGCGCCTGGAAGCTGAACCCTAGAAGACAACAGAAAGACACGCACATGTGATGGGAATGTGGAAAAACCAGGAAGTTTGGGGATGAAATACATGAAAGAGATGTTAAAAATCCCATTCGCAAAACGACCAGAAGCCTTCTTATTAGGGATATTGTCAATTGAAATTAAAAAAAAAAAGAAGTAAGATCACTCTTTATGTATGCAACATCCGCAGCTAGAATTCTAACTGCAACGTGTTGGAAGAACAAAACTATACCTACAAAATCAGAATGGAAAGTTCAATTGTTAGAATATCTGCAAATGGCAAAAATGACGGGGAGGGTAAGAGGATATTCAACGCAAAAAGTAAACCAAGAATGGATTATATTTAAGGAATATCTGAAGAACTACTGTGATAGCAAAAACCTCCTAGCAGATCTTGAATGAGCTTCCTGCAGCCAATCGGAAGCCACAGAAGCCACGTCAGACGTTTGGCTTTCAAAAAACGTTTGCAAACCGGAAAACTCACTTCCGGGTTTGTGATGTTCGGCAGCCAATTTGCTCGACAACTAAGGTGTTCGACTACCAAAGTACCACTGGGCAGGATTGCCTTGAGATACCTTGGGGTCGGATAACTCCATACCCTCCAACATTTCTCCACTGAAAATAGGGACATCCTAAGGAAAAATGGGACATTCCGGGATCAAATCAGAAACCGGGACGGCTTCTCTAAATCAGGGATGTCCCTGGAAAATAGGGTCTACCATAACAGCTTCTCACTTTTTCATATAGAGTCCCAAATTCCCAAAGGGCCTTCCCTTCTGTACAGCCTTTCAACCTGTTACTGAAAATTCACATCCATGCATCTAACACATTTCTTAGAACAATGCTTCCCTCTTTCTTCCCTCCCACCACTCAATATGGCGCCACTTCCTGCTTTCATGAAGATCCCGGTCACTTGAATGCCCCTCAGAGAATGTTTCACTGTTTCTCCACTCCTCAGTTGATGGGTCTCCCATGAAGAAGGAAAGTTGGGTGGGGGAGCTAAGGGAATGGGGCCTGTCTATATAATATAATAATATAATAGTTTATTATTTATACCCCGCCTATCTGGCTGGGTTTCCCCAGCCACTCTGGGCGGCTTCCAACAAAACACTAAAATACAATAACCTATTAAACGTTAAAAGCTTCCCTAAAAAGGGCTGCCTTCAGATGTCTTCTAAAAGTTTGGTAGTTATTTTTCTCTTTGACATCTGATGGGAGGGCGTTCCACAGGGCGGGTGCCACCACCGAGAAGGCCCTCTGCCTGGTTCCCTGTAACTTGGCTTCTCGCAGCGAGGGAACCGCCAGAAGGCCCTCGGCACTGGACCTCAGTGCCCGTGCAGAACGATGGAGGTGGAGGTCTATGAGACCACCACCACGATTGCAATGGGTGCTGAGGGGTCATGGGTGCTGAAGAGCATCTGTTATGGTCTCTTGGCTCTGCTTGCTTTGTTCAGCCACTGGTCTGCATCCCAGAAAAGGAGGCATGTGGGGTCGGGCACTGATGTAGAAGATGTCCCAGTTTTCATCTGAGCAGTGCTGGAGGGTTTGTTCTGCTGAGCTATGGCCCTTCTTCCAGAAGAAGACAAGATCCTAGTCCTCATGGTTCCCATCCCTATCTGGAGATGCTGAGTTCTGGTCCCAGCACCCTCTGCATGAAGGCAAGTGCTCTACAGGTGAGCTATGGCCCTACCCCGTCAGACGCAGGACATCTTCAGACACAGATAGCTTAGTAGCATCTTCAGACACAGCTCTAAAAAGGAAGGAAGCAGCAAGCCCAGGATGAAAATTACTTACCAATGCACCCACCAGGACCGAAGGAGGAATACAGTGAAGTGTGGTCTGGAGCCAAGGGAAGCGAGAGCTTTTATATGCTTCCCAAGGCTCCTAAAAAAAGAAATGACCCATTGGTTGTGCAAGAAAACCAAGCCGGTGACTCCACTGCCAACAAGATTACAAATGATTCCTAGGAAATATTGAGTGGAAAATATTAACCTATATGCTTGGGCACATGCCTTTGGAAGTACCTCAGAGACCTGCTCCGCTGTGCCACGGAGATATTGTAATGCAACCCAACACCTGCAGGGATGGTGATGATCACAAAAAGTCGTTTCCCTCTTGCCCTAGTTTTGAAAATGCACAGCCCCCATGAGGTTGGGGTGCTACAAGTAAACTATGCTATGCAAAATGGAAATTTGAACATGACTATCAGTGCCTTGGGATGTGGGTGGCGCTGTGGGTTAAACCACAGAGCCTAGGACTTGCCGATCGGAAGGTCGGTGGTTCGAATTCCCACGACGGGGTGAGCTCCCATTGCTCGGTCCCTGCTCCTGCCCACCTAGCAGTTCACAACCACGTCAAAGTGCAAGTAGATAAATAGGTACCGCTCTGGCGGGAAGGTAAACGGTGTTTCCGTGCGCTGCTCTGCCACTTTGCCAGAAGTGGCTTAGTCCTGCTGGCCACATGACCCAGAAGCTGTACGCCGGCTCCCTCGGCAAGTAAAGTGAGATGAGCGCCGCAACCCCAGAGTCAGCTACGACTAGACCTAATGGTCAGGGGTCCCTTTACCTTTATCAGTGCCTTCTTCGCATGAAATCATGTAATGAACCATGCTTGGGAATTATTTCTGCAGCATACAAGAGACATTATATTGAGGAAATCTGATTGCAAAAAAGTGGGTGTGTTACTTTTGAGTTTGACGATTGAAAGAATACTGGTTTATACAAGATAGAATGGTTGGCTCCTAAGGAATGAATATTATATGTAGCTGCAGGACAGAGAGCCGAAAGTCCTTTATTCTTTTCTGTGGTTTTTCTTTTCTCTCCCTTTCTCTTTTTTTTAGCTGTCTCCTTTTCTCTTTTCTAAGTAGCAGTTTTAGTATATTATCAAAAGATACTTAGTAATGTGTGTGTATTTGTGTATATCTATGAATAAGTATCAATAAACAAGTTAATAAAACTTTTTAATTATTATAAATACACACACACACACACATAACAGTGGTACCTTGGTTTTTGAGCTCATCGAAAGCCGAATGTTTCAGTTTTTGAATGCCGAAAACCCGGAAGCAATTACTTCCATTTTTGAACGCGCCTCAGAAGTCACATGGCTTCCGTTGTGCGTTTTTCAAAATTTTCCCAATTGAACTTGCAGCCAGCCCTTTGCGCCTCGGTTTTCAAAGGTTTCAGAAGTCGAATGGTCTTCCAGAACGGATTACCTTCGAGAACCGAGGTACCATTGTATATAGAATTAATTTATGAATGAGTTAATAAAAACTAGACCACATTCACACCATGCATTGAAAGCACTACGACACCACTTAGAACAGTCATGGCTTCCCCCTGAGAATTCTAGGAGCTGCAATTCATTAAGGGTGCTGCGGGTTTTTAGGAGACCCCGATTTTCATCCCAGAGCTACAAATACACTCTGACCTGGCTGGTAGCCGGATTCTGCACCCAGATTTGTAGGCACAGATCATCCTCTAGAATAAAATAGCTTACTAGGGAAATGCTGAAGTTGCCCTTTGGGGCGCCTCAGGGTCAATTTTTTATGGTAGCCCAAATCTCAGTTGTACTGGTGTATGTATATATCTCAATTTCAACTCATGAACTATTGCTGCAATCGGCTCCAATTGTATATTTCATCTTTATGAACACTGTTTTGTTTTTTTTTGTTATGTTATGTGAGCTGGTCTTTGACCGTAATAAATTATCTAGCTTATCTAGCTGAATACAGTGTGGTTTAACAATCATTCTGTCTTCCCAGGGAACTCTGGAAACCGCAGCTCTGTGAGGTAGCACAGTGGGTCAGTGTTTCTAGCTGTTAACCAGAATGTTGGTGGTTCGAGGCCACCCAGGAAAAGCTGTGGGCAGGATTCCTCCATTGCAGAGGGTTGGACCAGATGATCCTTGGGGCATCTTCTACAATTCTATGATGATGATATAAGGCCTCCTAACTACTCTCAGCATCCTTTCCAAACCACAGGACTCAGGACTCTTTGGGGGAAACCATGACTGTTCCAAGTGATATCAAGCAGATTTGAATGGGCGTTTTATGTTTTGTCCTGCCCAAATTGGAAACATACAACTCTCGAGTTGGAAAGGACCCTGAAGGTCATCCAGTCCAACCTCCTGCAATGCAGGAGTCGCAGATGAAGAACCTCTGACAGACAGTCATCCAAACTCTCCTTAAAAACCTCCAAGGAAGGTAAAGATAACCAAGGGCACAAGACAGGGATGTCCTTTATCACCATTGTTGTTCATCGCAGTCTTAGAAGTGTTTTTAAGGGCAATCAGGAGTAATGAGCAAATTAAAGGGGTAAAGGTGGGCAGAAAAGAATATAAGGTTAAAGCTTTCGCAGATGATTTGGTATTAACCTTGGAAGATCCTATGAATACAGTATCGGAAGTATTGAAAGAAATTGAAAAGTTTGGACAATTGGCAGGATTTATGTTGAATAAGAAAAAACCTAAAGCAATTACTAAAAATATTGATCAGGAGTTAGTTAATAGATTACAGCAGCAAACTGAGATAGAAGTGGTTAAGAAAGTAAAATATTTAGGGGTTTGGTTAACCCCCAGGAGTATTGACTTGTTTCAGAACAATTATGTTCCAACATGGAATAAGATTAAAAGGGACCTTGAGGTATGGGGAAGAATGAAACTTTCCTTTTGGGGAAGAATTACAACGATAAAAATGAATGTGCTACCAAAGATGTTATTTCTATTCCAAACAGTTCCAGTAATCAAGGGGGCAGCAATTTTTAAAAACTGGCAAAGAGAAATTTCAAGGTATATCTGGCAGGGTAAATTTAAGATTTTAACAGATGCAAAAGAAAGAGGAGGCTTCACCCTGCCAGACCTGAAATTATATTATGAAGCATCTTGCCTCTGTTGGTTAAAGGAATGGATAAAATTACAAGATACGGATGTGTTAGACTTAGAAGGTTTTGATAATAGATTTGGGTGGCACGCGTACTTGTGGTACGATAAGAAACGGGTCCACTAAGGTTTTGAAAATCATATTATAAGAAGGTCCTTGATTGAAGTATGGGAAAGATACAAAAATCTGTTGGAACAAAAAACACCTTATTGGTTATCACCGCTGGAAGCGATGAGCGTGAAGAAAGTCAATATGACAGGGGGTTGGGTAACATATGAGAAATTAATATGTAAAAGTGAAGGGAAATGGAAAATGAGACCATTTGAAGAAGTCAAGAATCATGTGAATGACTGGCTGCATTTTTTTTCAAATTAATGAGATGTTCAGAAAAGATTTAAATGAAAGGGGCTTTGCTGATAAAGAATCCAAATTTCAGACTGACATATTAAATAATGACTGTAAGATCTTAGCAAAAATGTATAAGATATTGCTGGAATGGTATACGAAGGATGAGGAGGTAAAATCTGTGATGATTGATTGGGCCAAAGATATAGGACATAATATACAAATGGAGGAATGGGAAAGACTTTGGAAAGATGGTTTAAGATTCACTGCATGTACTGCTATAAAAGAAAATGTTATGAAGATGATGTATCGATGGTATATAACCCCGTAAAGTTAGCAAAAATGTATAAGATAAGTAACAAATGTTGGAAATGTAAAGAAAAGGAAGGCACTTTCTTTCATATGTGGTGGGAGTGTAAGAAGGTAAAATGCTTCTGGGAAATGATTTATAATGAATTGAAGAAAATGTTGAAATATACATTTACTAAGAAACCAGAAGCGTTTTTACTAGGTATTACAGGGAATGAGATAAACAAGAAAGAGAAGAAGTTATTTTTATACGCAGTGACTGCAGCAAGAATATTGATGGCCCAGAAATGGAAACAAGAGGAGCTGCCTATGATAGAAGATTGGAGAGCCAAAATGATGGACTATGCGGAATTGGACAGAATGACAGGAAGGATTCGGAATCGACGAGATCAAAGATTTACAGAAGATTGGGAGAAGTTTATTCAATATTTGCAAAAACTAAGTGATAACCAGATTACGTTTGTAAGTTTTAAGGAAGCTCTGTGATGTGAAAATCTAATAATAAGTATAAACAATGAAATTGAAGCTACCAGAATAAATAACAATAAGTAGGATTGTGTTAAAAGTTATAAAATGAAGGAAGTTCAGACAAATTGAGGGAAGTCAAAAAATGGAATTAAGAGGTAATTAAGAAGTTTGAATGTACAACTTTGTTTTCTTTTTTTGTATTTGTAAACCAATAAAAATATAATTAAAAAAAAAAACCTCCAAGGAAGGAGAGGCCACCATCTTAAAAGGGTGTTTGCTCTTACTGTAGTTCTATGTTGCTCTTGTATTTACACGAAAAGCGACCTGCTGTCTTCATGGCTGTCAACGTTTCCCTTTTTTAAAGGGAAATTCCCTTATACCAAATAGGATTCCTCGCAAGAAAAGGGAAAAGTTGACAGCTGGGCTACATCTGAATCAAAACAAATGACAATCAGGCTCTCTGCAGGTGGATCCTTGCTCTCACTCAGCAGTAAACAGCAGATTTTCCCAGGGGAAATGGTGGGACAAAATAAAATCACTCCAGACTCATGTCTGGAAAGCACGGATCTGTGCTTACAGATCACAGCATTCATGGAAATCTAGATGAGCCCTTAAACAAAAGCACACCTTCAAACATGCAACATTCAGATTTGGTGAAATCTTGCCTCCTGAGTACGTCAAGTCAAAACCCCCTGCATAGCTGTCAACGTTTCCCTTTTTTTTAAGGGAAATTCCCTTATTCCGAATAGGATTCCTCGCAAGAAAAGGGAAAAGTTGACAGCTATGCCCCCCCCCTGGGTGGCTTGAAACGGAATCTAGAGTTTGCTTATGGTTTCTGCTCTGGAATCCACAATGTCCAGGTGTTGTTTCACAATCCACAGGCAGTAATGCTGATGCCCCACGGATGATGAAGCCCTTTTGGGTTTTCTATTCTGGGCCTCTGGCTTTTAAGCACAACAGATGATTAAGCTCCATGCATTGTGATGTTCCAGAGGCATCCTGTATTTAAAGGGCGGCAGGGGAACCAGAGAGAGAGAGAGAGAGAGAGAGTAGACGCAGAAGAGCGAGTGAGGAATGTAGGTTTAACACTCAGCCAGGAAAACTAAAATTGAGCCGCATGGAAAAATAACACAGAATTATATGTTCCTTCTCCGTCTGCCTCATGCGAAGGTGTTATTAAGCTGGAGAAGAGCCCTTAAGGACTCTACAGTGGGGCAAGTGTGACAGCAGAGTGGCTATTAGGATGGTGTCCTCATTTTCCGTCCATAAAAAGTCGGAGGAACTATAATTATTTGGCCTAAGATGAGCTGGAGAAGGACGTGTCCTCGTTCAAATGATCAGGTTGTGAATCCACGCCTGGGAAGGTCTGGAGCTCAGAGGTAGAATACCTGCTTTGAGTGCAGAAGGCCCAAGGTTGAATCCCTGGCATCTTCAGGTAGGGCTGGGAATGTCCCTCATCTGAAACCCTGAAGAGGTTCTGCTGGTCAGCTTTGACAATACAGAACTGGACGGACCAGAGGTCTTGATAGTGACAGTGGTGAGCTACATGGACCCATCACCTGACTCTGTATGAGGAAGCTTCCTCAGCCAATCTTTAAATCAGCCCTTGGTTGAGAACGATGAGGACTGGAATCTTATTTCATTTTTAGGGAAGGACCATACCTCAGTACGACAACACCTGCTTTGCCTGCAAAAGAAAATACTGAATCATGTGGACCCATGATCTGACTCCATATAAGATATCTTCCTATGTTCTTTTGGGAAAGGGCCATAACACTGATTTGTGGGCAGAAGGTCCCAGGTTCCATCCCTAGTTAGGGCTAGAAGAGACATGTGCCTGAAAGTCTGGAGAGCCATGGCTGGTCAGTGTAGACAATATAGAAATTGATGGACCAATGGTCTGACTTGGTATAATGTAGCTTCCTAAGTTCCCATTAAATCACCCCTTCATTCAGAACCTTGAGGGCTAGAAACTTAGTTTATTTTATTTTTTTGCTGGACCAATGGGCCTCCGGCTTGATCCAGCAGACTCTACATATGTTCTTCTCAGCATAGAAGACTGACTGTGTCATAAATTATGTTGGAAGGCAGATGAGCAAAAGGATATGGTATTGGACCTAGCATTCAACTTCCAGAAACATCTCGGCTTTCAAGTTCCTAGTCTTCATGTGTGCTGATCTCTGCTTGAACGTGTTTGGGCAAAGCAGTCATGCACAGAGGACACCTGGCCAGTAGATGGCACCTGTGGCAAGAATATGACAAACAGAGGAAGCTTGTCATCAGTTGTGAAGTTTGTGGGAAGCTATGTTGGGGCAGAAGAAGCTGGTTACTGTGAGGGTGTGCAAGGTTTTTATACAGTATTCTGACCGGTGCAATCCACCGGTGGTGTAGGGCCACAGTACTGGGCAAGGACTAAGGAGATTCAAGTTCAAATCCCTTCGCTTCCATGAGGCAGCCGGGTGACCTTCAGACGGTCATACTCTGAGCCTAGCCTATTTTCCAAGACTTGTTGAGGATTAATTGGATGAGGGGTTGGGAGAGAGAACAATGAACATCATGAGCACATTAGAGGAAGGATGGGTGAAATGTGCCACACCCTAAAACAATGGTTAGGACCATATCTCATATTCACCTCTGCCCAGTTCTGGTCACCACAGTTCAAGAAGGATACTGACAACCTTAAAATGTGTGCAGAGGAAGGTGACTGAGATGATAAAGGGCCGGGGAACCAAGCCTTATGAGGAACAGTTGAGGGACATGGGATGAGAAAAGAAGACTGAGAAGGGATATGATAACCATCTTCAAATATCTGAAGGTCTGTCACATGGAAGATGGAGCAAGCTTGTTTTCTGCCACTCCAGAGAGGGTGTCACGGTCCGGTCTAAGTGCAATCGGAGTCCCGGCTGAGGACGTTGGGACCGGGGTCAATATGGCGGGGTGGGAGCAGGAACGAGTGTCCAGAAGCTAGGGGTCCGAGGGCCAGGAAGCAGGGAGTCACAAGGTCAAGGGTCCAAGGGTTGAGAAGCAAGGAGTCAAGGTCTGAGGCTCAGGAAGCAAGGAGCCAAATGCAGCAAGGCAGGGAATGTGTTGCTGTGGCAAAGAGCCGAAGGAAACTGCTGACCTTATATCCCTTCCCGGCTCTTGCCACCAGGTGCAGCGAGTTACCAATCGGCCTCACCTGTACGGCCGCACCTTGCCTCTTCAGAACAAACTTAGGAAGGCCCCAGTCCTGCTAAACCCTACAGGTCACAGGGCCTGACTCCTGCATGCACTCCTGACAGAGGGGGACCCAAACCAATGGATTCAAATTGCAAGAAAGGAAGTTCTGACTAAACGTTTGGAAGAACTTTCTGGTGGTAAGAGCCGTGGAATGGACTCCCTTGGAAGGTGGTGGACCGTCCTCCTTTGGAAGTTTTTAACAGAGGTTGGATGATCATCTGTCAGGGATTCTTCAGCTGTGATTCCTGCACTGAAGGGATCTGGACTAGATTACTCCTGGGCAGTCCCTTCCAATCCTATATGATTCTATGTGTAACCTTTCGGGTGTGAGGAATCCATTCCCACTAGAGAAAGCCAGCTATGTTTATTGAAATCCCTCTCATTTCCCCCAAATCCTTTACATGATGGATGGGTGGGGAGCTCAGGCTTGGGGTTCCTCTAACAGGCCCTCCCTCCTAGACCACATCCCTCTGCAAACCCAGCTTTGCACCCTCCCACTTGAATGTTTTTGGCTTCTTGGAATGCAGCCTTCAATTCCGATAGTGCTTCTTGCCTTGTCCAGGGAGAACAATAGAGTCTCGGAATTGTAGAGTTGGAAAAATCATATTGAAATAAAAAATTTAAGGTCTTATATATATAATAAAGGTTCATAAATGTACCAATCTAGAACGTATAGATATGGGGACCACAAGTCTGGAGCAGCACAGGAAGACCACCCTGAAACCATTTTGACCCTCAAACTGAACAAATGTTTTCTCTGCAAGGAGGGAGCGGGTGAGGGAACCTTCCCATTGTCTCAGGAATTGGGTAATCACCATCTCAAAGGAATGGGCAGACTACCAGGAATGGCAATCAGATAAGGCATTATCAGATAACCTGGCAGACATCTTGCCCACCCAAGATGTGGTCCCTGGAAGGTTTCACAGAAGGGAGTGTGGCCCCTGAGCCACAAAGTTCCCCCTGTTCTGCCTTCGATGCCAAACCTTCATCCCTGCTTCAGATTTCGCCAAGGGCGACTTTTGACGAGACTTACCGGGACATCTCTCTGCTAAGGCAGATGGAGGAAGACCAGAGAGTCATGCAATGCCACAGAGAATAGATTTTTTTATTTGATACACCTTTACATACATGGGGGGGGGGGGGTGGAGCTGCTTTGCAAAGGGGAAGACTCCAAGCAGAGTGAAACTGACTTTCCAAGCACAGCAAGATCAACTTTCCTCCCAGAAATTCTCATCTTGACATTACTTTTTCCGAATGGTGATGACCAACAGTCAACATATATCATGTTTCATATTGGTGTCCGCACATCTGACATTCCATGATATTTCATCCCAGATTATTGTTTTTCCCCGTTTAATTCGACAGCTGATCATTAACCATATCTGACATTTGACGTGTAATGGCATTTGGCAGCAGAGGGGCAAATTCTTTGAACGCTAGATAAATAAATAAATATCCGGTTCGGTCCCCAGCATCTGTGGGTAAGGCTGAAAATCTCCTTTGCATGCAGACGGACTGGGAAAGACTAACTGCCTGGAACCTGGACAACACTGGTCTGACAGAGTCCAAGACAGCTTTCTCTGTTCTTATGTTCCCATGCAGCTAGCAATTAAGAAAGATGGCTCAAATAGCGTACATGAACATCTACCAACCAGCCATTACTTCAACATCACATGGAAGTAATGCAATTGCAGAGGCCATCTGGGAAACCTTACACACAACGGCATTTAGCATTTTCCTGTGGGAACTGACACGCAATTGTGTTTCGCATTTCATGACCGACATGCAACAGCAAATTGGATTTAATTATATTTGGGAAACTGATATGCAAGGGCATATAAAATCAGATGGCACCCGCACAGAAGATTTCATACCTGGTTGTTGTCCAGGAGCCATTGAGATCAAAAGATGCCAGCAAGCCTAAAGCACTTAAGATTTCAAGAACTGGAGTTAAAATGTCAGAATCTGGATTTCGCATGCCGAGTCATCGACAATTCCTTTCTTATCTTTCAGCTCTCAGTCCCAGGTCCACCACCAATAGCCCGTTCACACAGCCGCTCTCTCCAAGTGTCATTGATACTTCCTCTTCCAAGAGAAGGCGCAGAATTCTGTGTTGTCATAAGCAGGAAGGAATAGAGCGAAAGGTTGAAGCTGAGAGAAGGGACACACCATCCGGTATATGCGACACGGTGTGGGTCATGTACGGATCGATCGCTCCCTCGTTCCCGAATCCAAACACCGATGGTCATGCGCAGCGCATTAACAGCACGTCGGCTTGCAGCAGGTCGAAGAGCAGCAGGGTTGGACCTGGACTGGCACCGCACAGACCGTGCTGCAGGGACTTGCGCAACAGGTCTGGGGCACCAAAACGAGCTTGCCACATCCGCAGGGGCAGCGCTGAATGCAGACAGGGATGCAGGTCTGAGCCTGGCACGGTGATGCGCAGACAGGCACGCAGGTCTGAGCCTGGCAAGGGGTGGCACAGACAGAGGCGCAGGTCTGACCTTGGCAAGGGGTGACACAGACGGTGCCCTGGCAGGGTGCCGCAGCTTTGACGCCACCGCAGACGCTTTGGCAGGGTGAGGCGCACTTGGTGCATGGGTCCACGCACTTGGTGCATGGGTCAGCGCACTTGGTGCATGGGTCAGCGCACTTGGTAGCAGGTGCCTTGACGCCGTCGCTGCAGGCGGTTTGGCAAGGCGCTGTGCACACGTCGGTGGCGCACTTGGTTGTGCCACATGACGCGGTTCCGCACTTGACGGTGGTCCCTTTCACGCAACACGGGGGCGGTGCGCATGGCTGCTTGCACTGATGAGACATCTTGTCCGAAAAGGAAATTGTCTTTACCTGCAGGACAGGGAAGGGGGGAAAGACACATTATAGGAATTTGCTGGAAGAAGAAGAAGAAGAAGAAGAAGAAAGTTTGTGTCACATCCACACAAGCATGGTTAAACTGTGGAACTCACTGCCACAGCAGGCAGTGAGGGGCCACCACCTGCATTGCTTTAAGAGAAGATTAGATAAATTCATGGAGGAGAAGATAAATGCATAGATAGGTTAAATGCTTACCCCCAAATCTCAAAGGACCAAATGGACAGAGAGGCCAGGAGGAAATGAGGGAACAAAGAAGCACAGACTCTTTTATACAATACCGACCAAGCCGGGATCCGGAAACGAAGAGCCCCAGGGAAGCCAAAACCACACATTAAGAACTCAGCCTTGCTCTAGCCATTAATCCTCAAAATTGTTCCCTTGCATCATGAAGTTTAATAGAAAATCTTAATTTGATGGGACCTACCCATCGGCTTCCAGAAAGGTAAGTATTTGCTGGTTTTGGTTTCTGCATCGTTCTTCCTTTCTGGAGTCAAAACAATCTGGCAGAGTAGGCTAGAATTGAGGGACATTAGTGGCCATTCAGATGCTGCTAGGCTCCAACTTCCAGCAGCCCCAGAAGCCAGTGTTAGAAATTAGCCGGCGCCAGGCGCATTTTGCAACGGACATAGAGATCCCTGGATACAAGGTTGGTGATGGGGGAAACAAAAGATCCCTTGGAGAAGGATCTGAAATATTTCTTGAAGCTTGAATTTGTTTCATTCTGGATTGTTTGACATTTTAATGTGCTGTAAACGGTTTTGAGATTTGTTCTTTAAAATATAAACAGTATAGCAATAAAATTAAAAATAAAACAAGTCTAGGGATTGGGCTCATCCCTGAAAGGGAGGGTGAAACGGATTATAGAGATGAGGTGGAGCGGCTGACAGAGTGGTGCAGAGCTAACAACTTGCTCATAAATACAAGGAAGACAAAGGAGCTTGTGGTGGACTTCAGGAGACAGAAGAGCAACGTCCAGCTACTTTTGATTGATGGGGTCTGTATGGAGAGGGTAACAACGTTCAGATTTTTGGGCATTGAATTACAAGAGGATCTGTCCTGGAGTGTCAACACAAGGGGGCTTGTGAAGAAGGCGCAGCAGAGACTGTACTTTTGAGAATACTAAGGAAAAACCATCTTCCGCAGAAACTGCTGCTTGCCTTCTATCACTGTGCCATTGAGAGCGTGCTCACTTATGGCTTATGTGTGTGGTACGGAAGCTGTACTACCCAGGACAGGATGGGGTTGTGCAGGGTTGTTAAGGCAGCAGAGAGCATTGTTGGCTGCCCACTCTCCACCTTAGAGCAGATTTATGCCACAAGGTGCCATAGGAAGGCACTGGACATAGTAAAAGATCCATCGCATCCTGGTCACTGTCTCTTCGAGCTCTTGCCGTCGGGACGGAGATACAGGACGATGAAGACAAGAATGAGCCGTCTTAAGAACAGCTTCTTCTCCAGAGCGATCTCGGCCCTGAATGGGAAGCCCGGACTTTGAAAGTCATCTAATCTCCCTTGCTGTATTATACTGTATTGTTTAATTAGTGTTTTTATGGAGCAGTCAAGTAATTTCGTTGTCCCCGAAGGGGGCAATGACAATAAAGATATTATTATTATTATTATTATTATTATTATTATTATTATTATTATTATTAAATTAAGATGCCATTTGAAGATTAAATTATATACCTGAGCTTCTAACACTGCCAGCAGTCAGCATGGCCAATGTTCAGGGGTGTTGATAAGCATTGCAATCCAACAATATCTGAATGGGAACAGGGCTCCTTGCAACAGACTGGTTTTTTAATTGAAATTGGGGCCTTGCATGAACTTCTTTCAAAACTTCAGTGTTCCAGCACAGACGTTGGAACAGACAGAGTCAGGCCATTGGTCCTCCTAGCTCCCAGTCTACAAATGGACTGGCAGAAGCTCTCCAGACATTCCTAACCCTACCTGAGGATGCCGGAGACTGAAACTGGGACTTTCTGCATGCAAAGCAGATGTTCTAACACTATGGTCCTTGGAAGGATAGGAAGTTGACAAGTACTGAGTCAAACCCTTGGCCCATCAAGTTCAGTATCATCTACGACAACAGTCAGTGGCTCTCCAGGTTTCAGACAGGCTGTCCTGTCCAACCCAACCTGGAGATGCCAGAGTATGAAGCTTGGACCTTCTACAGGTGAAGCAAGCACTGAGCTATGGACATTTGCCAAGACTCAGTAAGATCCCAGTCCTTCTTATTCTAAGGCAGTGTTTCCCGAAATTGGGTCTCCAGCTGTTTTGGGACTACAACTCCCATCATCCCTAGCTAGCAAGACCAGTGGTCAGGGATGACCAAAAACTGCTGTAGACCCAAGTTTGGGAAACACTGTTAAGATGACCTACCACTGAGCTATGGATCTTCCCCATTGCTTTTAGTCAATGTTCAGGAATGCCATTCTGGAGTCCTTCCTAAATTGACCATGACCAAAGACTATAATGCCAGGTGAACACTGCCATGCCCACTGTAGGAGCCACAGACTTGGAAAGGTCTAGTTCATGGGGCATCATTGTCACTTCTCTTCCCCTAAACCAGGCATGGCCAAACTTGGCCCTCCAGATGTTTTGAGACTACAATTCCCATCATCCCTAGCTAACAGGACCGGTGGTCAGGGATGATGGGAATTGTAGTCCCAAAACAGCTGGAGGGCCAAATCTGGCCATGCCTGTCCTAGACCAACACACTCAAATGATCAAGTAAAAATTTCCATTTATCTTTATTATAGTAACCCACCAAGAAGAGCTCTGCTGGATCTGGTCAAAGGTCCACCTAATCCAGAGTCCTGTTCTCTTAGTGGGTCAACAAGATGCCCTAATGGGAAGCCCTTGAGCAGGACCTGAGTGCAACATCACCTCTCCCCGCCTGTGATTCCTAACAGCTGGTGTTCAGAAGAAGCATAATGCCCCCAGTTGTGGAGGTAAGAAATGACCATCATGTCGAGAAGCCCTTGATAGGCTTATTATCCTCCATGGATTTGTCTAATTCTCCTTTGAAGCCATCCATGTTAGTGACCCTTTCTACCTTTTGTGGTAGTTTAGATATGCACTATCTGGAGAAATAATTTCTCTTTACCTACTTGTTGGTCTTACCCCTTGACTTAGCAGCCATCCATCCGACTGCCCTGCCACCCATCCATCTACCTACCAACGTCACATCCAAACTTATCTCTCGAACCCATTGCCATTGCATAGAAATCATCCGTCCAGGAGAGTTAGTCACAAGACGTCCTCAACCAAGCAATTCATCGCAATCTGTTTGAGAAGTTCAGATCCCTGAGCCACAAGGGGAAACCTCTTCCGCCCCAATGAATTAATTTAAAATCAGATGTCCGTAACTCGGGGTGTCAGATGATGAGAACAGTGTCAGAAATGAGAACAGAAACTGCTGCCATTCACACGTTCATCGGCAGCTAGGAAAGGAAATCACACAAGTGTTTATCGTCACCACCATCATCGTTAAATGCCTTTCACCACATGTAATCAGACCCAGGTCACAATGTAAAATACAACATTAAAAATAGTTAAAGATAAATTACAATCACAACTGGTCGTTGTTGTTGTTGTTGTTGTTGTTGTTGCTGTTGTTGTTAGTATGTCACCCCAGCCACTCTGGGCAGCTCCTAACAGAATATTCAAAACAAAACAAAACATCAAACATCAAAAACTTCCCTAGGCAACAGGGCTGCCTTCAGATGTCCCCTAAATGTCAGATAGTTGTTTATTTCCTTGACATCTGATGGGAGGGCGTTCCACAGGGCAGGTGTCACTACCGAGAAGGCCCTCTGCCTGGTTCCCTATAACCTCACGTCTCACAAATTTCTATCTACCTCTCTACCTACCTATCCAGCTATCATTTATCTATCTATATCATCTATCATCTATCTGTATCTATCTATCTATCATCTATCATCTATCATCTATCATCTATCTATCTATCTATCTATCATCTATCTATCTATCTATCATCTATCTATCTATCTATCATCTATCTATATCTATCTATCTATCTATCTATCTATCATCTATCTATCTATCTCTATCTCTATCTCTATCTCTATCTCTATCTCTATCTCTATCTCTATCTCTCTATCATCTATCTATCATCTATCTATCTATCTATCATCTATCTATCTATCTATCTATCTATCTATCTATCTATCTATCATCTATCTAATCTATCGATCTATCATCTATCTCTCTATCTTCTGTCTATCATCTATCTATCTATATCTATCTATATCTATCTATCTATCTATCTATCGATCTATCTATCTATATCTATCATCTATCTATTCATCTATCATCTATCTATCTATATCTATCTATCTTTCCATCTAATGTAATCTAATCTATCTCTGGTTACCTTACCCTATAAGATTGAAGCCCACCTGACCACTTCAATTTGTGGAACTGGCACCATTACAGGAGACATGCATTTGTTTTTTAAAAAAATCAATCTTTTAATGTGACAGCACCCGCACTTTGGAACTGCCTGTTTATTGACATCTGGCAAGCACTTTTGCTGTACTTTCTTAGCACCTGATAAAAATGTTTGTTTGTTTGTTTGTTTGTTTGGGCAAGCCTATCCAGATGTGTAGAATGTTGGCATGTGTTTCGCTCTGGCTCCCAGGTTTTGGAAACCCCATCTCTGACTGGACGGAAAGGGAAAGTTTGGATGCTTAGAAAAAGCTCAATCCCAATGCAACACAGAAGGGTTGTTAAGAGGACAAGCGAAGCGCCATCACTTAGATAAGGTATGGCCCATATACACCAACTATGTAAATAAAAGTGGCATTGATGTAAGACCTCCAGATACTCAAGTTTACTAAGGGATGGTTATGTTCTGCCTCCACAGCTGGAGACAGCATTAGACAGCATCTTAAAAAGCAGAGACATCACCTTGCCGACAAAGGCCCAGATAGTTAAAGCTATGGTTTTCCCAGCAGTGATGTATGGAAGTGAGAGCTGGACCATAAAGAAGGCTGATCGCCGAAGAATGGATGCTTTTGAATTCTGGTGCTGGAGGAGACTCTGGAGAGTCCCATGGACTGCAAGAAGATCCAACCGATCCATTATGAGGGAAATCAGCCCTGAGTGCTCACTGGAAGGACAGATCCTGAAGCTGAGGCTCCAGTACTTTGGCTACCTCATGAGAAGAGAAGACTCCCTGGAAAAGACCCTGATGTTGGGAAAGATGGAGGGCACAAGGAGAAGGGGATGACAGAGGATGAGATGATTGGACAATGTTCTCGAAGCTACCAGAATGAGTTTGACCAAACTGCGGGAGGCAGTGGAAGACAGGAGGGCCTGGCGTGCTCTGGTCCAGGGGGTCACGAGGAGTCGGACACGACTAAACGACTAAACAACAACAACAACCAGTTGCTGGAAACTCCAGAAGAGGAGAGAGCTGCTCTTATGCTCAAATCTTGCTTCCTGGTTTCCCACAGGGGCATCTGGTTGGCCATCGTGAGAACAGGCTGCTGTACCAGGTGGACTACTGGCCTGATCCTGCGGACTCTTCTTAGGCTGTCGTTATTTTAGAATGAAGGTGCGCTGTAGCTTTTTAATGAATGCTTTGGAGATTTCTTCAGGGCTGGCCAGTTGATCAAAGGTAGCTGCCAAAACCTCCAGGTTGGCCTGTGATGCAGCTGTTTTGTCAATTTCCGCTTTACTTGGTGCGTGCCAGAGTTGAGCAACCCATTTCCTGCAAGAAGAACCAATAAATGCCATTGCCTCTGCATGGAGCAAATCTTGCCAGGATCCCTCCCTTCCATAATTCCCCTTCCTCCCACCCAAACACCCACCCCTGGACCTTTTGCTCGGTGTTGGTTGTTTTTAATTCCGCCTCTGCGTAATTTCACAAAGTCCCATTACGAGCTATTAAAAAATAATTAAGCTTCATCCAGCACCGACTTGCAGACAGGCAACACCTACCTCTTTGCGGCCAATTTCCTTGGCGGAATCCATACGTTTGCAGCCATAGGAAGACAGGAATATACACATCGAGATGTTGGGTGCACAGATAGGAAGGAAAGGTGTTGGGAAAGCCACTTCCGAGCTAGGGAAGAGGTGCGGTTGCGGGCTTCACGCCCTTCCCCCACACTTGCGGGGGCTGGCTTCAGGGGAATACCAGGGGAATCCTCGGACGCGTCATCCCCAAGCCAGCCAATCAGCTGGCCCAGGGGGCCGTGGCCTAGCCGCGTTTAGGTCTGCCGCGGCCGAGGGTCTCCCTCTTTGCCGCACTGCAGCCAGACAGGTTTTCCCTTACCTCCCTCCCGTTAGGCTAGGCTCTCTGACGTTGCTATGGACTTCGGTTGGTCGCTATCAAGGGGCCTGGTAGGAATTCTTCCAATTGGCAGATTGGCCCAGCCACTTGGTTTTCGCCTACCTCGTAGCAAACCGTCACAACTTCGCGGTATCGGCGGTTAGGCATCTGTAGGGGTATTGTTCTATTGTTATGCAGATGAGAGGGGGGAAGGAAGCGCCATCACCTTCCCCCAAACATAAGGGTAGTCCGTTAAAGGATTCTGGGGGGCGTGGCCTTGTCCTAAGCCTATGGAGGTGTGGGCCCACGGCACGCCCCCACGCGGTGACACCGAGGGAATCCTAGTTGACGTGCCTCAGCAGGACTCCCCCTACTGGTGGTTAACCCTTACCGGACTTCAAGCAACCGGGCTGAAGCCGGTTAGTTGTTAGGACCAATGCCTAAACCAACACCGCTCAATTCCTGTAATCAATAAAGTTGTGGCCTAATTTGACCCATTAACTCGAATTCTTGTGTCTCGTGTGTTTGTTTCTGAGGGTGGAGACGGGAACTCGCCACACAAGTGATGAAAGAGGGAAACTCCTGCTGCTCCATGAGGTTCTTTCTCCTTCCAGATGTTGCTGAACTGTAACTCCCACTAGCCACCTGCAACCATGGCTAATGGTGAAGGATGGTGGGAGTTGGAGTTCATCAACATCTGGAGGGACAAAGGCTTCCCAAACCTGGACCAGATGGATGTGATCAGGGATGGAGGATGCCAAATGAACTCTGCCTGGTCCTCAGAAGTCTATAATTTAGGAAGGTAAGATGAGCTTGTGGCCAATGGCCCATCTAGTCCAGTTCTCACAGTGGCCAACCAGAGGCCCCAATGGGAAGCCCACAAGCAAGACATGAGCACAACAGACATACAGCAGTTTTATTGCATTAGCTCTGCAGTGCACCAGCTTTGGGATGACTTCACCCCTAGCCCTCAGGAGGTCAAGATGTAAACCAGAAAATAACCATCCTTCGATGATTCGCACCTTTCCGAATTCTGTAGGGCAGGTGTCAGATGCTGATGGTGGTTGCTCGTGAGTAACCAGGCAGGATTCCAACCTGTCTTTTACAGGTTTTATTGTGCAAACTATTTACAGTGCAGATCTACAAAGTTCATGTCCATCTCAGTCACTTGCAGAATCCGGGAGTGGCCCCTTCCAGCTTCTCCCCCAACATAAGAACTTCGGCACCCCAGGGCTCCTCCTCCCCTCCTTGTGTTTCACCCCTCTGCGCAAGCTGGGCGACGGAAGTGGCGTACGTCCCTCCTGGCCAGCCTGGCCAGGTGAGGCGCTGGGGCTCTCAGCAGCATCCTCGAGCCCTTTCCTCGCTTGGTTGGCCCCTTCCCTCTCTTCTCCGCTGGAGGTGTGGCTTTTCCCACCGCTGGAAGAGGAACTGCTCCTCAGGAGTTTTGGAGGCTCTCTGTATCCTAACGGCCCCCCTGCCTCCCTCCCCTGTTCCGATGGCAGTCCCCTGACAGCAGGTCTATGGTCAAGTAGCACTGTAGATGGCTTGTTCCACCTCCCTCAGGGTGGTGGTAGCCCAGGGGGAGAGGGCCTTCCCCTAAGTTGTGGGACTCCCTAACCGGCCGAGGGGTGTCATGCTGAAGATGCAACTCCTTTAAAGCCCTGCGCTGCCTAGGACCCATGTACCTACGGGACCGCCTCTCCTGGTCTGCCCCGCGGAGGACCTTAAGGTCCACAAATGACAACACTTTGGAGGTCCCAGGTCGCAAGGTGGTTAGGTTGGTCTCAACTAGGGCCAGGGCCTTTTCAGTACTGGCCCCTACTTGGTGGAACGCTCTGTCACAAGAGACTAGGGCCCTGCGGGACTTGACATCTTTCCCCAGGGCCTGCAAGACAGAGCTGTTCCACCTGGCCTTTGGTTTGGACTCAGTCTGACCCTTATGTTTCCCTTACTATTAAAATAAGGCTGCATTTTAAATTGTATTTTTAACCTGTATTTTAAATTGGGGTTCCCCCCCCATTATGTTTTTATTGTAATTTTACTGGTGTTAACCGCCCTGAGCCTGGCTCTGGCTGCGGAGGGCAAAGTATAAATAAAAATTATTATTATTATTATTATTATTATTATTATTAGCCATTAACACCTGAGATGTGTATCTTCAGGGCCCATTGAGTTCCTGCGGCTGCAATCTGGTTTTATGGCAGCTTCTAATTCTGAATTTTAAATTGTTGCAACACACCTCTTTACTACAACAACAATGACCACTACTACTAATAATAATAAACGATAATAGGATAAATTTGCACTAAAATTCTGCTGAATCTTCACGCGGACCTTTCTAAAACAAAAACCTCAAACTGATGTGGAATTAGGGAGAAGAAACTATGGTTGGGGAAAGGAGAAGCTGAAATCACCCTATGCCTTTGTATGGGAACATGGTAGGGAATGAAGATCGGCTGAATTAAGACACAATCGAAAGCTATAAAATAAGTAATAGCTGTTTGATTTACCTGTCACTTTAATCCATTATCTAAATATTACCATCATCGCCATTTATGGGGATCTACGCCTTCCCTAATAACCAAACCCATTAACAGAACTAAAAAAAACACACACCACACCTTGCTTGCATCCAGAGAGCAGGTGCTGGTGATGTGTCAATAACTCCCTGTTGTGACAGGCATGTGTCAGTAACAGTTAATGAGCAGCTGGAGCTCTGTTATTAGAACAAGTCAGGAAGAGGTAATGGGTTCCCTGCCTGTCTCCTGATACTTAATCATGGCGTCTGGAACCCTGAAGGCCTGGCTTTTAAGGACAAAGTGAAGCAGGAATTCCAGGTGGAGGAGTCACATCTGTTTCCACAGCTGGAGCAGAGACTTTGGAAACAGAGTTATTACTCCACAAAGCCACAGTGGAGTTAGATTTTATACAGTTTTCAATGTGCTTACCTTGCTGTCGTGTAGTCCGTATAGTTAAAGCTCTAGTTTTCCCAGTAGTGATGTATGGAAGTGAGAGCTGGACCATAAAGAAGGCTGATCGCCAAAGAATTGATGCTTTTGAATTTTGGTGCTGGAGGAGACTCTTCAGAGTCCCATGGACTGCAAGAAGATCAAATCTCTCCATTCTTAAGGAAATCAGCCCTGAGGGCTCACTGGAAGGACAGATCCTGAAGCTGAGGCTCCAAGACTTTGGCCACCTCATGAGAAGAGAAGACTCCCTGGAAAAGACCCTGATGTTGGGAAAGATGGAGGGCACAAGGAGAAGGGGACGACAGAGGACGAGATGGTTGGATAGTGTTCCTGAAGCTACCAGCATGAGTTTGGCCAAACTGCGGGAGGCAGTGGAAGACAGGAGGGCCTGGCGTGCTCTGGTCCAGGGGGTCACGAGGAGTCGGACACGACTAAACGACTAAACAACAACAACACCTTGCTGTCGGGGCTGTCAGGGGGTATAGAATCATATAATTGCAGACTAGGAAGGGGCCGTCTACTCCTCCTGCAATGCAGGAATCACAACTGAAGAATCCCTGACAGATGACCATCTGACCTCTGTTTATAAACCTCCAATGAAAGAGGGTCTGCTACCCTCCAATGGGTCCATTCCATTGTCAAACAGCTCTTACCAGCAGAAAGTTATTCCCAATGCTGAGTTGAAATCTCTCTTCTCACCATATGAATCCAGTGGTGGATTTACATATAAGCTAAACAAGCTCTAGTTTAGGGCCCCACTCTCCTGGCCCCACCCCCAAAAAAATGTAAAGGGGGGAAAAACTGGATGTACATTTCCAAAGTATAAGATTAAAAAACAAATAAAATAAAACCTACATACAGCAACAGTGTTTTGTGTTGTGTAGGCTCCTATGATGTAAGTCATGGGTCCCGCCTGCTAGCCTGCTCCCTAAAAGATCACTGGTTTGCTCCTTTCTATATATAGGGTGCCTACATTCTGCATGGACTGGTTGCAGGGCAACATGCGCAAATGGCTTTAGATACCTTTTAGGTCCATAAATTACCATACAGCAGATATTCAACACAAAAAACTGTGACAATTTGCTGTTGACAAAAGACAGCTGGACATATAAAGGGCCCCATTACCTTCAGTAGCTCAGGGCCTCATCAAACCTAAATCCGGCCCCGTATGAATCCATTGATTTGGGTCCTACCCTCCAGAGAAGCAAAAAACAAACTTTCTCCATCTTCCCTCTCGCAGCCCTTCACATACTTTTGATGATGGCTATCATATCTAAGTCTTCTCTTCCCCAGGCTAAACAAACCCTGCTCCCTCAACCGTTCCTCATAAGGCTTGGTTTCCATGTCCTTGATTACCTTGCCTGTGTTTCTCTGTTCACGTTCCAGCTTGTCAATGTCCTTCTTAAAGTGTGTTGCCCAGAAATGAACAGAGGACTCCAGATTTGGTTTAACCAAGGAAGAATACAGCAGGACTATAACTCTTGACCTGGACGCTATACGTTTCCGAGCACAATTCAAAGTGTTGGTGTTGACCTTTAAAGCCCTAAACGGCCTCGGCCCTGTATACCTGAAGGAGCGTCTCCACCCCCATTGTTCTGCCCGGACACTGAGGTCCAGCTCCAAGGGTCTTCTGCTAGTTTCCTCCTTGCAAGAAGCAAAGTTACAGGAAACCAGGCAGAGGGCCTACTCGGGAGTGGCACCCGCCCTGTGGAACGTCCTCCCATCAGATGTCAAAGAGAAAACCAACTACCTTACATTTAGAAGACATCTGAAGGCAGCCCTGTTTAGGGAAGTTTTTAATGTGTGACATTTTATTGTATTTTAGTGTTTTGTTGGAAGCCACCCAGAGTGGCTGGGGAAACCCAGCCAGATGGGTGGGGTACAAATAATAAATTATTATTATTATTATTATTATTATTATTTATTCTGTTCATGCAGCCAAGAACTGCATTGCATTTTTTTTTCTGCTGCTGCTCCATCACCCCGTTGCCTCATGCTAAGCTTGTGGTCCACTAAGACCCCTAGATCCTTTTCACATGTCCTGCTGCCAAGCCAGGTGACCCCCATCCTATATATGTGCATCTGGTTCTTCCTGCCCAAGTGTAGAGCCTTGCATTTGTCCCTATTAGCAAGCTTCCTTTATTTCATTCTGCGAATCATCTCCCCAGTGGTCTGCGCGTTGGCCGCCTTCCCAGATACCCACATTTCAGTTAAAGCCCAGCAGTTTGCTAGCATAATTTGGGGTGCATTCAGCCTTGCTCCACTGTCCAGCAAGCCACCCTTTAGATATTTGAAAAGGGTTCTCAGATCACCTCTTAACAGGCGACATCATTCTTCGGGTTGTATTGCCCTTTACAAAGGCATTCAAAAAAGGTGATTGAAGTCGCTTCCATCTCACTTAGAACAAGGCAATGGTGATGATTCTCATCAGAAATGGCTGGCTGCTTGTTGGGAGGGATGCTTGCCCAGTTGATGCATCCCTTGGCTTCTGGGGAATTCCCCTTCCTACAGATTTTAAACTATATTATGAGGTGTCCCATCTCTGCTGGCTCCAGGAGTGGATAATATTGAAAAACATAGGTGTTTTAGATTTGGAAGGACATGACAATAGGTTTGGATGGCATGCATATTTATGGAATGAAAAAGCAAAAGTACATAAAGGATTTCAGAATCATCTAGTAAGAAAATCAATTTTTATGGTATAAAAAGAGTCTTCTTTCTGCATACTTGAGGCCCATGCATGATTCAATTTGGCAAATGAAAATTGGTCATTTCCCCCTCTCGTCTAACGCAGAGACATCTAAAACAACATTCCACCTCTTCAGAAATGAATAGTTGTTATGGGGAGGAGCCCTAGCTCAGGGAGGACATTAGTAAGAGCCTGGCTGCTGGATCAGGCCCACCTAGTCCAGCACCCTGCTCTCATGGCAGCCAACTAGATGCCTGTGGGAAACCTGCAAGGGGGACCTGAGACAAGAGCCCTCTTACCTCCTGCAGTTCCCAGCAACTGGGGAGACTGTGGCTCAGTGGCAGAGTGTCTGCTTTTCACACAGAAGGTTCCAGGTTTGATTCCTCACATCTCCAGGTAGCGCTGAGAACATCTAAAGTCTGAAAAGGCCCTGCCATGCATTGTGGAAAGTGCTAGGCTAAATGGACCAGCAGCCTGACTCAAGAGACAACAGCCTTTCTCTGTTCCTTCGTGAAATGGTTTTGAAGGCAGCCCAATGCCAACAACCATCCGGCAATGATGAAAAATCCATTTCTCTTCAAAGGGTTGGGAATCTCTTAAAGGAGATGGGGGGATTTATGGGTTGCTATTTAGGGATGGGGGACACGGGTGGTGCTGTGGGTTAAACCACAGAGCCTAGGACTTGCCGATCAGAAGGTCGGCGGTTCGAATCCCTGTGACGGGGTGAGCTCCCATTGCTCAGTCCCTGCTCCTGCCAACCTAGCAGTTCGAAAGCACATCAAAGTGCAAGTAGATAAATAGGTACCGCTCCGGCGGGAAGGTAAACGACCTTTCCGTGTGTTGCTCCGGTTCACCAGAAACAGCTTAGTCCTGCTGGCCACATGACCCAGAAGCTGTAAGCCGGCTCCCTCGGCCAGTAAAGCGAGATGAGTGCCGCAACCCCAGAGCCGGCCACAACTGGACCTAATGGTCAGGTGTCCCTTTACCTTTATTTAGGGATGGGGACAAGACCTGTGATTCAGTTCACATTTAAAGACAAATCTAACTGAGGGCTCATCTAGAGCTCCACTTTCCCATCAATCTTCGCCCAGGAAAACCTGCTCTTTAGTGCTGAATTGGAGCAGACATCAACTGGGTTTTTCACAGATGGATGTTTGCTCCAATTCAGCACTAAAGAGCAGGTTTTCCAAGGGAAAGTGGTGGGAGAAGGGAAAACTGTTCAGACCTGTGCCCAGGAAGCATGGGACACACAGAAAACCACTCGGACCTGTGTTTTCCACGCTCGGGACAAATGGAAGTTTGGACAAACCCATAAATAATACACAAACCTAAGCACCACCATCTTTTGACATGTTTATCACTCTGAATTTTGCAGTGTAGCCCTCCAGCCAAATAATGTGCAGAACCATGCATGCGCTGGAGTAAAGCATGCATAAAAACATGTATAATTGTGAAAATGCACAGTGCATTGCCATATGTTTGGCAAAAATGCCTACAAACATAGATGTATTAGCAGAAAGGTGCACTAAAAGGGTGCTGTATTTTCGCAAAGACTTTTTAAAATGTAAGATGGTGTGGAAATGTGGATCTTAAGATTGGGGGAAATGAGAAGCTGAAATGGGCAGATTTTGTCATTCCTCATTAATAGCAACTTATAAGATCACTGCACTTTCTTTTTTACTTACTTACTTGCTGGCAATCCGTATTCTTCCTCCCAACCCCCAACCCCCAAGCAGCAACAATAGTTATGCCAGGAAGAGAAATAAATAACTAACATGCCCCAGCTATCACGTGCCAAAACATCATCACGCACCCCACTAAATTAAGAGGGCCACACTGAAAATATGGAGGCTAAGAAGAAAATTAGGAGGTGACGTGGGGTTTGACTCTGTAACCATACATTTCCTTTTGTCCTTGGGCTCCTTCCTTCTCAGAGCGTCTCCTTGAGGAACCCATAAAAGGAAGGGCTGCTCTTTAAGTCTCCCTACTCCTGCCGGGTCTCCGTCCACCTGTCCTGTCGCTCAAGCAGGTAAGTTTCAGATTCTTGGGATCCTTCTCTCTCTCTCTCTGGCCTGCATGGTTATTTCTGCTAGTGATCCTCCCAAGACGTATTTCAGGTCAAGGACCTTTTGGCCACATCATACCATTCCTTCAAAGCAGTTAGACCACTTTGACAGTCATGGCTGTCTCTCCCTACCCCCACCAAAGGATTCTGGGAACTGTAGTTTATTAAGGGTGCTGAAAGTGGTTTGGAGGCACCACCCCTATTCCCCTCACAAAACTACAATTCCCAAAGTGGTTTAATGGTGAATCCCTCTTCTCTGTGGCAGACTGCTTTAAATGTACAGTGTGGGGAACCTTCCTCCCATCCAGAAGTTGATGAACTGCAGTTCCCAAGCATGGCCAATGGTCAGGGGTGATGGGAATTGTAGTTGAAGAACATCCAGAGGGGCCAATGTTTCCTTGTACCTGCTTTAAATGTACAGTGTAGATGTGGCCTCTCAGTATTATTTTTCTAGAAAAGGAGATGCCAGAATTCACCATGAACACCTCCTTTGTAGTAGTAGTAGTAGTAGTAGTAGTAGTAATATATGCCCCACCCATCTGACTGGGTTGCCCCAGAACAGAATATTAAAAACACGATGAAACATCAAACATTAAAAACTTCCCTAAACAGGGCTGCCTTCAGGTGTCTTCTAAAAGTTGAGTAGTTGTTTATCTCCTTGACATCTGATTGGAGGGCGTTCCACAGGGCAGGTGCCACCACCAAGGAGGCCCTCTGCCTGGTTCCCTGTAACCTCACTTTTCGCAGGGAGGAAACCGCCAGAAAGCCATCGGAACTGGACCTCAGTGTCCGGGCAGAACGATGGGGGTGGAGATGCTCCTTCAGGTATACTAGGCCAGAGCCCAGAACTTTGAATTGTGATCAGAAACATACTTGTTCTCTTATAATGGCAATGGCACCAACCTGAGAGGAACTGAGTTCCAGTGATTTCCGGTGGAACAAAAGCCCTGCCTCTCTGATTGGTAGAGGTGATGCCACAATGATTCTGTATGATTTATTTAAGCATATTCTTGTTCTTCACCCAATAAAGCTCGTTTACTTTTGCATTTTTTAAAATCACCCCAAGACAATCCCTGCCTCCAGGAGACATGGTGCAAAAGGAAAGAGGGAAGGGGAGGGTAAAGGAAGATGAGAAAGCTCAGGCAACGCTTCGTGGAGTTCTTACAGAGACCTTGAATACGACCAGCCGGATTTGAAACTGTTTGGGGAAAGAAACAGTCCAGTGGAGCTGATCGTGCAACACAGCCTACAGAGCTAATCCCTTTTTTTTAGCTATGAAAGTAGTTCAAGATGGTTATGCACAACTGACTCCCTTCTGGCCTCTCAAATCCTATTAACTGTGCGGTGGTTTGAATCGGCTGCTTGACATGTTTTGTTTTGTTTTCCCTTATCCTAATTCCATATTATGTGGATTAGTGGCAAGGGCGGAGGCTTAAATGGCTTTCATGAGGAGAGGAACAGCTGACAGCAAGGTGTGGGGAGGGAGGAGGTGGGAAATGAGGCAGAATTCCTGGGGGGGAATGTCAGTCGGTGATAGCAAACAAGAAAGAGGTTGAGCACCAGGTCAAAAGCTGGAAGAGAAAAACAACAAGGATACCAGTCAGCTGATGAAATCCAGCTGCTCAGAGGGACTAAGCCGAATGATGGAAGATTCAGGAGAGATCAAAGCGAGGGCTTCTCCACGCAGCACAAAGTTAGACTGGGGAACTCCCTGACACAGGAGGGAGTGATGGCAGCCAACTCGAAAGAGGAGTGGACGAATCAGGGGAGGAAAGGGCTACTGATGGCTTCTGGCCACGATGGCTTCGTTCCACCTCCGTGGTTGGAGATAACAGTGGTTCTGAATATCAGTTGCTGGAAGCAGCAGCAGGAGAGAGTTCTGTTGCGCTCATGCGCTGCTTGTGGGTTTCCCATTGAAGAATCTGGTTGGCCAATACAGTGGTACCTTGGGTTAAGAACTTAATTCGTTCCGGAGGTCCGTTCTTAACCTGAAACTGTTCTTAACCTGAGGTACCACTTTAGCTAATGGGGCCTCACGCTGCCGCTGCACCTCCGGAGCACAATTTCTGCTCTCATCCTGAAGCAAAGTTCTTAACCCGAGGTACTATTTCTGGGTTAGTGGAGTCTGTAACCTGAAGCGTATGTAACCCAAGGTACCACTGTATTAGAACAGGATGCTGGACCTGATGGGAAATGGCCCTGATCCTGCAGGGCACTTCTGGTGTTCTTAAAAATTAAAAAAGGTAAAGGATCCCTGACCATGAGGTCCAGTCGTGGACGACTCTGGGGTTGCGGCGCTCATCTCGCTTTACTGGCCGAGGGAGCCAGCGTACAGCTTCCGGGTCATGTGGCCAGCATGACTGAGCTGCTTCTGGCGAACCAGAGCAGCGCACGGAAACGCCATTTACCTTCCCGCCAGAGCGGGACCTATTTATCTACTTGCACTTTGACGTGCTTTTGAACTGCTAGGTTGGCAGGAGCAGGGACCGAGCAACGGGAGCTCGCCCCGTTGCGGGGATTCGAACCCCTGGCCTTCCGATCAGCAAGCCCAAGAGGCTCAGTGGTTTAGACCACAGTGCCACCCAAGTCCCTAACTTCTAGTGTTCTTATGACACCCAAAATAGGGCAAAAGTGTTTTGCATAAAACTGGCACGCACAGATTCATATGCATTGATGCAAATTTTGGAAGTGATGACTATAATTGAAAAAGAAATGCGATTCATCTCACCGCAGGGGGTGAAGCTGCGACTGGGTGACCTTTGTTCCATCTCAGATCTGGTGTCCAAGTGATCACTGTGAATCCAGTTCCCCACTCTTTCAGGGAAGGGCGATAGCTCAATGGTTAGAGTATCTGTTTCGCCTGCAGTTCTTGGTTAAATTCCCGGCATCTGCAGGTAGGGCTGGGAGAGGCTCCTGCCTGAAACCTTGGAGAGCTGCTGCCAGTCTGTGTAGACAATACTGGGCTAGATAGACCAGTGGACACACTGACAAATATAATAATAATAATAATAATAATAATAATAATAATAATAATAATAATTTGTTACTTATACCCCGCCCATCAGGCTGGGCTTCCTCAGCCACTCTGGGCAGCTTCCAAAAAATTATTAAAATACTGTAATACATCAAACATTAAAAGCTTCCCTAAACAGGGCTGCCTTCAGATGTCTTCTAAAAGTCTGGTAGTTGTTGTTCTCTTTGACATCTGCTGGGAGGGCTTTCCAAAGGGAGGGTGCCACCACCGAGAAGGCCCTCTACCTGGTTCCCTGTAACTTGGCTTCTCGCAGTGAGGGAACCGCCAGAAGGCCCTCGGTGCTGGACCTCAGTGTCCGGGCAGAAGGATGGGGGTGGAGACGCTCCTTCAGATATACTGGACCAAGGCAGTTTAGGGCTTTAAAGGTCAGTACCAACACTTTGAATTGTGCTCGGAAACGTCCTGGGAGCCAATGTAGGTCTTCCAAGACCGGTGTTATGTGGTCTCGGCGGCCGCTCCCAGTCACCAGTCTAGCTGCCGCGTTCTGGAGTAGTTGTAGTTTCCAGGTCACCTTCAAAGGTAGCCCCACGTAAAGTGCATTGCAGTAGTCCAAGCGGGAGATAACCAGAGCATGCACCACTCTGGCGAGACAGTCTGCGAGCAGGTAGGGTCTCAGCCTGCGTACCAGATGGAGATGGTAAACAACACACCCTCCAACATTTCTCCAATGAAAAAAGGGATGTCTCATTCTATTATTATTATTATTATTATTATTATTATTATTATTATTCCCTCCATCTGACTGGGTTGCCCCAAGTACATATAAAAAAACATAATAAAACATTAAACATTTTAAAACCTCCCTATACAGGGCTGCCTTCAGATTTCTTCTAAAGGTTGTATAGTCCTTTATCTCCTTGGCTTGGCGGTGTCACATAATTCCATACCTTCCAACCTTTCTCTGAGGATGATGATAATAATAATAATAATAATAATAATAATAATAATAATAATTTTATTTATACCCTGCCCTCCCCAGCCAAGATCGGGCTCAGGGTGGCTATCACCAGATATAAAACAATGGATTAAAATACAACTTAAAAACAAGATTAAAATACAACATTAAAATAGGGATGTCTTAAGTGAGACTTTCCGGGATCAATTCAGAAACCAGGACAGCTTCTGTAAATCTAGGACTGTCCCTGGAAAATAGGGAGGGTCTGCAGTTGCAAATACCTGCAATTTATGGGAAAATGCTTGGGGGAAGGATCGTGACAGGTAGTTAAGCCTACAAGCACAGAAGCTGGCGGTGAAGGTTCAAAGCCAGGGCTTAGCACTGACTGGGCCCAAAGCCAATTCGTTGTGGTTAGTGTGTGGGCGGCTTGATTGACGGACGGAGGACTGAACATCGTGTCAATCTGCAGAAGGCATTTGTTTCCACTCTTAATGGCTTTGGAGTGAACCAGTGACTCCAGTCCTGCGAGCAACCAGGCAGTCCTTTGTCTATGCATGATCCCAAAGTGGCCAGTCAGATACCCCATGGAGGAAATCCCTTGAGCAGGACCCAAGCAGAGGACCACCTTGCCCTCCTGGGCTTCACAGCAACTCTTATTCAGAAGCATTTACTGCCTCCAGCCATGGAGCATAACCATCATGACTAGTAGACGTTGATGGCCCTCTGAATTTGTCCAGTCCTCTTTTGAAGGCATCTAAGCTGGTGGCCATCACTGTGGCAAGGAGTTCCGTAGTGTCACTGTGTACTGTGTGCAGAAGGTAGTGGGGCCTGTCCTGTGGAACACCCTACCATCAGATGTCAAGGCAATAAGCAACTATCTTACTTTTAAAAGACATCTGAAGGCAGCCCTGTTTAGGGAAGCTTTTAAATGTTTAATGCTGTGTTGTGTTTTTAATATTCGGCTGGGAGCCGCCCATAGTGGCTGGGGAAACCCAGCCAGACTGGTGAGGTATAAATAAATTATTATTATTATTATTATTATTATTATTATTATTATTATTATTTCTCCATCCCAAATCTCCTAATGTTCAGTTTCATTAGATATCTGCAAGTTCTCATGTTATGAGAGAGAGAGAAAACCTTTCCTCTGTCCCCCATAATTTCATAACTTGTATCATGTCAAATCTTGCTTGCCTTGTCTCTCAACTCTAACGTCCCAAATGCCAACATTTCTTCATGGATCAAAGTCCTTTTTCTTTTTCTTACCTCAACCAAGAAACAAAAAATCAGCATGAGAATCATGTCTAGGTGTCAGGGACACCTGCACCTCTCCTCCTGAACCTTCCTGAGAACAGGAGGACAGTATAGAGTTAGAACAGTGGTTTGCAGAAGGGCACAGTTCAGAAGCTGCAGAGCGGAGAAGCTGGGAAATATTGGAAGAGGAAGAGCAGGAAGAAGAAGCACCTGGGAGAGACAGAAGACAGACTCAGTGTCCTTGGAAAGCATTCCTGACCCCGACCCCTCTCCCAGCATGGGAGAGCCAGTGTGGTGTAGTGGTTAAGAGCGGTGGACTCGTAATCTGGTGAACCGGGTTTGCTTCCCTGCTCCTCCACATGCAGCTGCTGGGTGACCTTGGGCTAGTCACACTTCTCTGAAGTTTCTCAGCCTCACTCACCTCACAGAGTGTTTGTTGTGGGGGAGGAAGGGAAAGGAGATTGTTAGAGACTCCTTAGGGTAGTAATAAAGTGGGATATCAAGTCCAAACACTTCTTCTTCTTCCCAGGACCAGGCGAGCATTGAGGGTAGCGGAACAGAAAGCTCAGAGGCAGAAAGCTCAGATTAGCTGACACAGGGGTGGCATAGAGTAGGGGGAACGTAGGGGGTGGGAATTTACTTGGAGCAACGCCATTATTTAGGGAAGACTGCATTCCTTCATCACTCTCTGTGAATTATTGAATAAATTGCTTGGCAAGAACTTTTGTCGTTTCTCTGCTTCTTGGCTGCCACCGTGGGAGGGATATGATTCCTTGAAGCCTGACACTAGGTTTGGAACCATATAAGATCTGGACTCTGTTTTCTTTCTCCTCCTTCAGGTCAAAGTGCTGCCCTGAAAGAATGTACCAGACCAAGCAGCCCTGCCTGCCCCCTCCGATCTGTGCAACGAAATCCACAGGCGCCTGCGCCCCTCCGTGCGTGAAGACATGTGCAGTTCCATGCCCAAACTCGTGCACTGCTAAATGCATAGAGGCATGTGCCGTTGGGTGCAATCCTGGCTTTGTGCACAACTCAGAAGCCTCATGTGCAGCCCCGACGTCGCCTGAATGCACGGATTCATGTGCCCCTCCATGCGCTGCTTCTTCTGAAGCACCATGCTCAAGCCCTCCTTGCACAGATGTCGCCCAATGTGAGGATGCAAGTGGGGGCCCAAGCCCTTCCATCTTTGAGGCCCCAATCCCAGTTCTCTGCTTGGATCAACGCGCCACAACCGGCGAGCCTCCCATCAGCAGTGGCGGTAAAACTCCGCCCGCGCTCCCTTGCATTTCTCCACACGCCTGTTTTGCTACCTGCGTTGATCCATGGGCTGCAAGTCCTGACTGCGCAACTGCATGCAGCACGAAATGTGCCACGAAATGCTGCGATGCGTGTGATGCCTCGAAAGGTGCTGCCGCCATCACATGCGCCACAAAATGTGCCACGTCAGTCCCGTGTGCCACAGAATCCACCATCATAACCCCCTGCACCACAAAATGCTGTGATGGGTGTGATGCCACCATCACATGCGCCACAAAATGTGCCACATCTGTCCCATGCGCGACAGAATCCACCATCATAACCCCCTGCACCACAAAATGCTGTGATGGGTGTGATGCCACCATCACATGCGCCACAAAATGTGCCACATCTGTCCCATGCGCCACAGAATCCACCACCATAACCCCCTGCACCACGACATGCTGCGAGGGTTGCGGTGCTTTGAAAGGTGCTGCCTCCGTCAAATCTGCCACGAATTATGCCACGTTGGTCCCGTGTGCCACGGAATCCACCAGCTGGTACCCCTGTGCCATAAGATGCTGTGATTGCTCCGAGGCTTTGAAAGCCGCTGCCAGCAAAAAATGTGCCACGAAATGTGCCACCTCGGTCCCGTGTGCCACGAAATCCAGCAGCACGGCCCCTTGTGCCACAAAATGCTGTGATTGCTGTGGTGCTTTGAAAGGCGCTGCCACCGTCACATCTGCCACAGAATGTGACACGCCATGTGCCACGAAATCCACCAGCACCATCCCCTGTGCCGTAAAATGCTATGCTTGCTGTGCCGCTTTGAAAGCCGCTGCCTCCAACGAATGTGCCACAAAATGTGCCACGTCGGTCCCATGTGCCACGGGATCTACCAGCACAACCTCTTGTGTCGCAAAATGCTATGCTGCTTTGAAAGCCGCTGACGCCATGAAATGTGCCACAAAATGTGCCGCGTCGGTCCCATGTGCCACGGGATCCACCAGCGCAACCCCTTGTGCCACAAAATGCTGCGATTGCTGCAGTGCTTGGAAAGGCGCCGCCTCGGTCCCGTGTGCCACAAAATGTGCCATGTCAGTCCCGTGTGCAACATCTGCTGGCACAACCCACTGCGCTGCAAAAGGCTGTGAATATTGTGGCACCTGTGTCCCCCAAGTGATACACACCTGGGCCATGAGATGTGGGATTCCATGCTCCAATGCATGTGCCTGTGGCTCAACCAAAGGTGGGGTTTCATGTTCCACATCGTGCCCCTGTGAGGGATCCTGCAAGAAGTAACTGCGCACATGAAGTCATCAAACATCTCTACAATTGGGAAAGGGGTGCATTACTGAGCAATGCGTCCTCTGAGCTGATTCCTAGTCTACCCTGTCTTGTGTGTGTCCTGTGGAAATCTTAAACGCATGTTCACATATATTATGCTCTCCTCTACGTTAATTTACCTCAATTCTTTGCCTTGCAAATGTGTATCTTATCAGTTATCTTTCTGCCACAGTGGTATGCAATGCACTGATGTGCCCAGATCTATCTTACGTTGGGGTGGTCCAATCTTATGCAAGTTTTCTCCCAAGTATTTATATTATTTGTGTATTTATTAAACTTATGCCTTGCCCTTCCTCTCAAAGGAGCTCAGTAGGAATGTAAGAAGTCAGCTCCAAGCTGTCTCTGGCACAATTGGTTCTGTTTCCATTCAGCTGCAGTTCAGTTTCCTCAAAATGCTGCTTTATTTGTCTTGCCATCTGCTGTGTAATGTAATTTACAGAGTCATTGATGTGATGCATGTAAATTGTGAATTGGACGTGATTAATGGTGTGATCATTTCCACCCCGTTCATTCCAGTGCAAAGGGCAAGCCACTTAAATGGGGAATGGGGGTAATCAATTACATATCATGTGCTGATTTAAGACAACAGCCAAGCCAATTGGCGATCTCTGGATTGATTCCAAAATAAGCAGTCACCCACAATTTCCACTTGTTTCCCTTCTCAATGGAATTATATGACATCCCTGTTCCTAAATTCTTCTGCGTTAAGCGAGCCTCGCTCCCTGATACATAGGCATAAGACTGTGGTCTTAAATTGCTTCTACGGACATTCCATTTCCCAAGGGAACTCTGGGAATTGTAGTTTTAAGAGAGATGGCCTGGAGAATTCTCATCACACTCATCATCTTTTGGGTAGAAGTCACAGCTTGGCCAGAAACAGTGATGTGCTTGGAACACAAATGTACTCTTGTGTATGTTTTAGGGTGATGTTGGGGGCAAATCTTGTCCTCTACTCTTCGTTTCACCTTTCAACTCTACACATATGTTTAATAAAATGTTTAATAAAACGGCTATTTGCCATTTATAGAGAACTGTTGTGCTTCTGGATTTTATCCTTGATACTCCAATTCCTTCAGTGTAGAATTAATGAATCATAGACTTGGAAGGGCATCTGTTCCAACAGCACTCCTGATAGGTTGGACCAGGCATAGGCAAACTCAGCCCTCCAGATGTTTTGGGACTACAACTCCCATCATCCCTAGCTAACAGGACCAGTGGTCAGGGATGATGGGAATTGTAGTCCCAAAACATCTGGAAGGCCGAGGTTGCCTATGCCTGGGTTGGACCATCCATCTTCTCCCTGAGAATCTCTAACAAAGGAGACCTCATTACACACACACCCCAAAAAAATACATTTTACTGAATCTTAATAGCAGCAAGCAGGTTTCAGGAAAAAGAAAAGAGATGGTTTGTTTGTTTTTGAAAAAGTTGTCGCAATTACCAGTGAAGAAGTATAAAATATAGCTATGGAGTTTACTGAGTCACTCATGAAACATACCAAGAAGAAAAAAAGATGTGTGGTCTGTAATTACACATAATGAATCAAAATAGAGTTCACAACCTCCCGAGTTAGCATTTCCCACTGCCGTCCTAATCGCTCGCAATGTGTGTGTTTCTTCTTGTAATTCTAAGACTGTCAGAAGAGCCCTGGTGCAGGGTCAGGCCCAAGTCCCATCTTGTTCGCACAATAGCCAACCGGATGGCCCAGTTGGAAGCCCTGCAATGATGACCTGAACATGGATAGGCAAACTAAGTCCCGGGGGCCAGATCCGGCCCAATCGCCTTCTAAATCTGGCCTGTGGACGGTCTGGGAATCAGCATGTCTTTACATGAGTAGAATGTGTGCTTTTATTTAAAATGCATCTCTGGGTTATTTGTGGGGCATAGGAATTCATTCTTTTTTCTTTCTTTTTTTCAAAATATAGTCCGGTTCCCCACAAGGTCTGAGGGACAGTGGACTGGCCCGCTGCTGAAAACGTTTGCTGACCCCTGAAGTAGAACATAGCCATTATGGCTCATTGTGCTTGTGGGTTTGTGGTCAGCAACTGTGAATTGTAAATTGCTGTTTTTTAAAGTCTGGAACGGATTAATCCATTTTGCATTACTTTCTATGTGAATGTGCACCTTGGTTTTGGAACGCTTTGGTTTTGGAACGGACTTCCGGAAAGGATTAAGTTTGAGAACCAAGGTACCTAGTAGCCACTGAATGCCATATCCTCTAAAGAGGCCTTACGTCTATGGAACCAGCAGATCTCATCTTCCATCTATGAATACAGTTCTGCTTGCTTTGGTCTTCACAACAGCCACCGCAACCTAATTCCATGGGATTGACTATATCAGCCGCTGACAAAGAGGCATCACAACAACAACAAACTGCCTCCAGGCCTTCAGCTTACACATTTCCACCACCCTCAGCCTTCAAGGTATCCTCCACCCTCCGGCAGTTATTTATTTCACAATAAAAATAAATAAATATGTTGAAATACTGACAGCTAGCCTCCCATTCTTTTGATCTCACAACAGTGCATGTAGGGCTGTAATCAACATGAGACCTACTCAGAGTAGACCTGCTGAAAATAATCAACATTACTTTTTTTTAAAAAAAATCATTTTTTTATTATTTTACAAATACAAAATTATAAAAATCCAACTATGTATCCATATATATCATGGGGTCCCATTTTGAACATTTACAACTGCATCTTCTTCCATACTTTTATATCAATCCATATTATCCCTGGTAATGGTTACACTACAAGTGAAATCAAAATCCTGCCAATGTTTCCATCTGCTTGCAGTGGGTCTCCTAAGTAACTTATAATTTTTTCCCATTCCTCACATGCATGAATTTCACCTGTCCCTATCTAGAGGACACCACAAACTTTTATTATTATTTTATTTATTAAATTTGTATACCGCCCTATATACACGGGTCTCAGAGGGAGCAAGCAAGGGCAGCAGCCCCTGGTACAAATAATATTAATTGTAAAACAATTGAAGAGTTTGGTCAGCCACACTCAAAGATGCATTAGCTTCCTCCTTTGGTTCACCCAAATCTGTCTTTCCCCGAAACTGGCAGATAAGTTCTGAACGAAATCTTCAGAAGAGCTGTAGACCCAAAGGCAGAAGAAAAGCAGTCATGAGGGCCTTGATTCAGGAGTGTTCCACTTGGAAATCCAGAGGCTATGAGCCTCCAGTTAATACTTTTAAGTCTTCCATCACTCATTGCCCCACATAAACAGGAAAACACCCAGGTAGGTCTTCAATCTCTGCTTTCATGTTGCAGTCAACAGAGCAATTAGCCTCATCTAGGAAAGCCTTTGATAACAGCCGTCAATCTACAGGCGTGTGTCTTCACCGTGTAGCAGCGGGGTGTTAAAGTCCTGAGCATGTCCCAAGCTTAGACTAAGAGCATCATTTGTTTAAGGCAGGGGTAGACAACTTGGAGGCCTCCAGATGTTGTGAGATTACAACACCCCCAGGCCCGGCCCCAGCCCCGTCCACACCTGCTCTCCGCCACTGTGTCTATGGACAAACGCCGGCTCCCTCGGCCTGAAGCGAGATGAGCACCGTAACCCCATAGTTGCCTTTGACTGGACTTAACCATCCAGCAGTCCTTTACCTTTTTAAAACCTTTCTTATGTTCTTATAACGGGACGCGGGTGGCGCTGTGAGTTAAACCACAGAGCCTAGGACTTGCCGATCAGAAGGTTGGCGGTTCGAATCCCCATGACGGGGTGAGCTCCCATGGCTCGGTCCCTGCTCCTGCCAACCTAGCAGTTTGAAAGCACAAAGTGCAAGTAGATAAATAGGTACCGCTCCGGCGGGAAGGTAAACGGCGTTTCCGTGCGCTGCTCTGGTTCATCAGAAGTGGCTTAGTCATGCTGGCCACATGACCCGGAGCTGTACGCCGGCTCCCTCGGCCAATAAAGCGAGATGAGCGCCGCAACCCCAGAGTCGGTCACGACTGGACCTAATGGTCATGGGTCCCTTTACCTTACTATGTTCTTATAAGTGAAAAGGTTCTGCAAAGAACCTTCATCTCAGTGGTAATTCTGCTGCAACTGGTCTCTCAGTGGGTCATTTTTAGGGGGGGGGGATGCCACACCTTTCCATGGCTGAGGTCTGATGTGAAGGTCCTCATCTGCAGAAAATATCCCTCTTGGCATTCTTGCTGAAGAACATGTTTTCTTATTTGTCCCTTGCTAATTATTGTCCTCTGAGTTGTTTGTCTTGCCCAGACAAAATTACAGCTGTAATTTTAAGATGCAACCTGAAATCTGACTTGCAGATCCCTGATCCAGATGGTGCAACGAAATGTATGAATTTCCTTCACTGTGCTTCCTTGCGGTGATTCATTCTGGTTGAAAGTTAACTGGGAGTGGATTTGACCTTGGACTTTGTTGTCACCTGCCTTCCATTTTCTCAAAAGTCCCCGCCCCCCATGGAAGAGCATCCATTTTTCCTCCTCATTCTTACAACACTTGTACACAGTGCAGAGTTTTGAGTTTACCTTCTCGTTGCAAGTTGGCTGAGGGAGGCATGGAGGCATTTGGAGAATCTGACAAAAAAGAACGAAACAGAAAGCAGGATGTCCCACATCCAGAATGGGAAAATCAACACAGCAAATTCAGTCAGCATTCACTGTTGTTGTTTTCAGTGTGCAAATGCTACATAATTGATTACAACCCCCTCCCAACACAACACACACACACACACACACTTTGCATTGTATTTCCTTTGCATTGAAATGAATGGGTTTCCATGTTGGTGGGAGAGAATGCCAATTTACATAGCAAGATACTGATAAGTCATTTGCTAAGAGTCTCCCGTTTAGTTGTGGCTCAAGGCTGGAAGGACACTTCTACATTCTCTATTACGAACTGGTTTAACAAAGCTTTCTTTATAGCCACAATCTCCTAAGATTAATATATACTTTTATGATCAACATTAGG